GAGTGTGTGTATGTATCTGCGTATGTATGTATGTGTGTAAGTGTGTATGTATGCATGTATGTGTGTGTAACTGTGTATGTCTATATATATATATATATATATATATATATATATAGCTATATATATATAAGTTTGTGTGTATGTATGTATGTGCGTGTGTGTGTGCTTGCGCGCGTGTGCGCGCGCGCGTTTGCGTATGTTTGTGTGTGTGTATGTGTGTATGTACGTGTGTATGTATGTATTTATTTATTTATTTATACATACTGCAGCCCCCAATTTGGGGCTATGGCAGGAGTGAGCATTTACAGAATGTAAAAAATAACAAACAAACAGATCAACAGAGCAATAAAACAAAAGAACACTCAACGCAAATCAGCAAGGGCAAGTAAAAAATTTTCCAGCGGAAGGGAGCGAATATCACCAGACAATTGATTCCACATTTCGGCAGTGAAAGGAAAAAAACTAAATTTGAATGTGTTAGTTCGACAATGGTAAGGCTTGATATTAAGGTGGTGATTACTTCTAGTTGTGGACGGCGAGGCAAATGAGATGTAGGTATTGAGGGACATGCGATAGACCGAGTTAATAAAACAGTAAAGCAGTTTCATAGAATCCTTTAGACGGCGCATGCGTAATGTGGTTAGTTCAAGAGAAGACAGGGCAAGGGAAGGTGAAAAGTAGCGATCATAGCGGTTACAAATAAATCTGATAGCTTTTTTTTGAATGGCCTCAATTCTATCGATTTCACCATGCTTGTGTGGATTCCATACAGGGCATGCGTAGTCAAGTATAGGACGAATCAGTGTTTTATACATTAGTAATTTAGTGCTTTTGGGGGATTGGGACAGTGTTCGTCTTAAATAACCTAACAATTTTAAAGATTATGAGCAGATAAAGTTAATATGCTGAGACCAAGATAAATTGCTAGAAAGAAAAACACCAAGATATTTGTATTCTGTTACTTCTTTTAAGGTGGATCTGTTAAACGAGTACGTGAAGCAGGAAGGGGACTTACTATTCGTGAAAGACATAAGCACAGATTTGTTAAAATTTATACTCATTTGCCAGGTTGCACACCATTCACAAAATTTAGTAAATAGTCATTTAGACGATAATGGGCTTCAGGAGAGTCAATTGGTTCATACAAAACACTATCATCCGCGTACAGACGAATTTTACAGGTGACGTTATTAGGCAAATTGTTTATGTACAGTAGAAACAGTAACGGGCCAAGTACAGAACCTTGTGGAACGCCTGAATTAACACTAACAATGTCGGAGTCAGTTGAGTTTTAACAAACGTATTGCGAGCGCTCAGAAAGAAAATTAGAAATCCAGGTAACTAGTTGCGGGTTGTTTAATATGGCATTTAATTTGCATAGTAATTTAGAGTGAAGTACAGTGTCGAACGCTTTCGAAAAGTTGATGAATAGTGCGTCAACCTGATTACCAATGCCCATATTACTAGAAATGTCGTGCACGAATTCGGTTAGCTGCGTAACAGTACTATAACTTCGTCTGAATCCATGTTGGAAGCTAGACAACAAATTGTTAGATTCGAGAAATGCAATAAGATGTTTGTATATAATATGCTCTAATAGCTTGCAGAAATGAGGGGTAAGAGAGATGTGTCTGTAATTGCTGAAAACTTGCTTGTCACCAGATTTATGTAAAGGTACTATTTTGCTGTTTTCCAAGATCTGGGAACGGTTCCAGGTTTTACGGATTTATTGAAAATAATTTTAAGGTATTGAGAGGTTCAAAGGGAGTAGCGAACGAGAAACATGTTGGGGATACCATCGGGTCCATTACACGTTTTAGTGACCAAATTAAGTACGAGATTTAACACGCCCTCTTCAGTGATCACTACATCACTGATTGGAGACGTTGGATTCAAGGTGGAAAAAGAAGGAACAACCAGATTGTCGACTGTAAAGACAGACTGAAAGAACGAGTTGAAATTGTTCGAAATTTCCGCCGGATCATCAATGATTCTATCGTTTATTTTGAAAGAATTACAAGAAGCATCGCGAGGCAGGACCAAGCGCCAGAACTTGCGGGGATTGTCGGATAGTAAACTTTGAAGTTGAACACGAAAAAAGAAATCTTTAGCTATATTTTGCTGCTCTCGAAGTTCCCTCTTGGCCTCAGTAAACCTGATAATGCTTTCTGGATTGCTCGATGATTTGCAGCGCCGAAGTCTTCGGACTTTACGAGATAAGTGTAAAAGATCGCGGGTCATCCAGGGAACATCAGTGTTTCTCTTTTTAGTCTTTGTAGGGATAAACTCTGAAATGCATGATTTTACTAGATTTTCAAAAGTGGTAGTTAGTGTATCAATGTCTCCTGAAGCGCTGAGTAGCACAAAGTCATCGTACGCATCCGCCAAAGCGTCTAAAACAGAAAGGTCATCCGCACGTTCAAAGTCAGGAAACGAAGTGAAAACACATCGCGGTTTATTGATTACGCATGCGAGGGAAACGAGAACAGCCTGATGGTCAGACAGGCCATCAATTATTTCATAGTCAGAGCCTTTATCCGAAAGGTCGGAGCTTAAAAATACGAGATTGAGAACAGCATTCAACCTGGTGGCACCATGAACAATTTGAGTTAATCCCAAAGATACTGTAAAGTCTATAAGTTCCTTGCAAATATTACTTTCGCGACCATCACACGTAAGGGAAGGCCAGTGGATACCTGGGGCGTTAAAATCGCCCATGCAAATGAAGTTCGACGCACTAAAATTGCGCTCGTACATGAAGTTATTAAGAATCTGTAATGTTTCAATACTCGAGGCAGGAGGCCGATAGAAAACGCAAACGACAATTCCACATTTTTCGAGGCAAATCTTGCATCAAACAAACTCGGTGTCGGCTGGGCCTGTAATCACAGCAAATTTTAAATCCGAACGGATAAGAAGAGCAACACCACCCCCTTTCCCCACGAGTCTATCGGTGCGAACTGCTGTGTACCCTGGGGGAGTGAACTCGGAATCAAGGATACCATCATGTAGCCACGTTTCAGTAATGCCGATGACGTGAGGCGAATACACTGAGACAAAGGAGAGAAGGCTAGGCAATTTCTTTATTACGCTCCTAGCGTTTAAGTTTAGAAGGACGAAATTTTCATTCCTGCCGGGACGACGTCAACCGGAGACAACAGGCGCTGCTGCCGGGGAAGGTTCACCAGGAGAAGATCGTAGTTCCGAACCGGATGCAGCCGGAAAGGGCATTGAATCGAAATTATTTGGAAAACTAGGTGCTTTGACAAGGGAATTCAGTGTTTCATCCCAGTAGTACCGAGCTTTCTTTATTAGAATGTAATCAAACCTCAAACTAGTAGAACACCCTATATCACGAAAAGGAGCTGCGGCGTCCCACATTTTTTTTACGCAGAGCGCGAACTCGCCGAGAGCAATCTTCGTTAATATAAATTTTAGTTCCGTTAAGCTTTGCAACGTTTTTAAATATGGTCATTTTATCCCGATAATCAAGAAGCTTAAGTATAACAGGATGGAAACGATCTAGTTGCTGTCTACCGAGTCTGTGACAACGTTCAATCTGAGGACATTCAATCTGCAGCTTTTCAGTAAAAAACGCCTCAATCTTAGTTGCCAAACAACCACCGTCTTCGAAGGCTTCCTCTTCCAGTCCATAAATTACAATATTGTTGCGCCGTGAACGATTCTCAAGATCATCACTCTTGGAAGCGAGTTCGGCAATGCATGCGTTAGGCGACCCAACAGAAGCAGAATTGGAGTTGGAAACCGTGGAAGCTTTTTCCAAAGCACATACCCGAGTCTCGAGTTTATCAAATCGGTTGTCGAAACGGAGCTTAATGTCAGCAATATCACTTGCGATTTGCTGCTGAGTAGCCAGCAGTTGTGAAAGCAAAGCAGCGACATCGGGTTTGTCTGATATAGAACAATCAGCTATTCGGGAATGTGCATCGAGCTGAGTGGTCGAAATAGAATTCCCGAATGAACGAGTAGCGGGACGAGTGCTATGCGGCCGGTTATTAGTTCCAGGTGCAGTTTTGGGGGGGCCGGGATTAGGTTCGACATCACCACACAGTAAAATACTGTTAAAGGAAAACACTGCATCCGAACATGACAAAACAAACACTTGTGCGCAGAGCAGCAGCAATAAAAAACGGTCATCGCTACGGACTACGTACGCGTCAGAAAAGTAACATACCTGCGTCAAAAAAAGGCATCGTGTTAGCATAGTGTCCACGTTGCTGCCACTATGCCCACTGAAGCTGAAGCTGATGGCCGGTTCCTTTATAGCTTCGCTGCGGGACGTCACATGTCTTGCGTTGGCGATGATTGGATGATCGATGACTGCGTTGAAGGAGGGCGCGGAGTGGAATCTTCGATAAGGCACACAGGTGGACACGTCGCAACTATCGCGCACGGGGGCGATAGGAAAGACCAGGGCCGTGCCGCCACCGAAGACCACATGACCCTCCAGGCAGAATGGCACATCAGAAGGCGATGCAGCGCTGAAACCAGGAACGGCACTTGAGCAGAGCGGGGGTCCGATCAAGCTGACAAGGAGCTGCGTCAAAAAAGGCATCGTTTTAGCATAGTGTCCACGTTGCTGCCACTATGCCCACTGAAGCTGAAGCTGATGGCCGGTTCCTTTATAGCTTCGCTGCGGGACGTCACATGTCTTGCGTTGGCGATGATTGGATGATCGATGACTGCGTTGAAGGAGGGCGCGGAGTGGAATCTTCGATAAGGCACACGGGTGGACACGTCGCAACTATCGCGCACGGGGGCGATAGGAAAGACCAGGAGCGTGCCGCCACCGAAGACCACATGACCCTCCAGGCAGAATGGCACGTCAGAAGGCCATGCAGCGCTGAAACCAGGAACGGCACTTGCGCAGAGCGGGGGTCCGATCAGGCTGACAAGGAGCTGCGTCAAAAAAAGGCATCGTTTTAGCATAGTGTCCACGTTGCTGCCACTATGCCCACTCTGTATGTATGTATGTATGTTTATGTGTGTATGTTTGTGTATATATGTGTGTGTATGTGTGTATTTATGTGTGTGTTTGTGTGTGTATGTATGAGTATGTGTGTGTGTGTTTATGTATGTGTATGAATGCGTGTTTGCGTCTGCGCATGTGTGCGTGTGTGCGTGCGTGTGCGTGTGTGTGCGTGTATGTATATATGTGTGTGTGTGTGTCTGTATGTATGTGTGCGTGTGTCTGTCTGTATGTATGTGTGTGTGTGCATCAGTATATATGTGTGCATGTATGTATTCCTGTGTGGATGTGTGCAAATTTGTATGTCTGTATGTATGTGTACATGTATGTATGTCTGTATGTGTGTATGTATGTGTATGTGTCTTTGTGTAAGTGTGCAGGTATGTGTGTGTATGTGTGTCTGTATGTATGTGTGTATGTATATATGTGCGTATGCATGCATGTGTGTGTAAATGTATGTATGTATGTATATATGTATGTATGTATCTGTTGTGTTACACACAGATACATACATGTGTGTGTGTAAGTGTGTATGTATGTATGTATGTATGTATGTATGTATGTATGTATGTATGTATGTATGTATGTATGTATGTATGTATGTATGTATGTATGTATGTATGTATGTATGTATGTATGTGTGTGTGTATGTACGCGTGTATTTATGTATATGTGTATGTCTGTGTGTGTATTTCTGTCTGTCTGTCTTTATGTATGTATATGTGTATCTGTGTGTATGTGTGTGTATGTATTTGTGTGTGTATGTGCGTATGTATGTATGTATGTATGTATGTGTGTGCGTGCATTTGTGTGTATGTGTTTGTGCGTAACTGCGTGTATGTGTGTATGCATGTGTGTATGTATGTGTGTTTTTGTGTGTGTATGCATGTGTGTATGTGTGTGTATGTATGTGTGTATGTGTTTGTGTATGTGTGTGTGTTTGTGTGTGTATGTATGTGTGTATTTGTCTGTGTGCATATGTAATAATGTGTGTGTCTGTGTGTATGTATGTACATATGTATGTATGTGGGTGTGTGTGTGCATGTGCGTATGTATGTGTGTGTATGTATGCGTGGGTGTATGTGTGCATGTATGTACATATGTACGTATGTGGGTGTATGTGTGTGCATGTGCGTATGTATGTGTGTGTATGTATGCTTGGGTGTATGTGTTTATGTATGTATATGTGTGTGTATGTCTGTATGTCTGTGTGTATCTAGGTATGCATGTGTGTAGGTCTGTATTTTCTAAAATATGATATTCTTCCCGTTTTCTTTTTGTACAACTACACGCTAATGTTATGCTATAAAGAGTTTGTCAAACATTGTACCAATACCACAATACATATTGCTAAACTTAGCGTAAACACAAGTGTTCGACTCACCACGCACAAAGAAGTTTGGACTGTACCCACCCCAAGAACCTTTTATGACAAACAATCAATGTCCTACAGACTACCTTCTTTTTTAAATTTTTTAAACCGCGAAGATTCGATCCTTCCTTTAAACAAAATTGTCAGATTAAACAATTCGCCCAACTGATACTTGATCCTCAACGATACATCTCTCAGAATTTATGCTCATTCTTTCCTTTTTATTATTGCTTTTCATGTTCATGCCACTTTATGACCACACATTTGAACTACTCTCTTTTTATCTTAGCACTGTTTTCATAAACTTTATGTATTACTTTTTTGTGATGTTATACCTGTATGTTTATTTAATATTTGTTGTACATGATTGGCTGCCATTCCTGCTGCTTTGTGAACGGGATGAACTTGTGAACGGGGTCAGGACCTCGTCAAGCTCTTGAGCTTTTAGTCCTGTACTCCACCTTATCTAAAGAAAATAATTTGATTGATTGATTGATTGTATGTATGTGTGTGTGAATGTATATATGTGTGTATGTGTATATGTATGTGCGTATGTATGATTGTGTGTTTGTGTGTGTTTATGTATGTATGTGTAAGCGTGCGTGCGTGTGTGTATGTATGCGTGTGCGTGTGTGCGTGCGTGTGCGCATGCGCACGTGTGCGTTCGTGTGTATGTGTGTTTGTTCGTGCGCGTGCGCGCATGTGCGTGTGTGTGCGCGTGCTTGTGCGTGTACGTGTGTGTGTGTGTGCGTGTTTGTGGGAGCGTGTGTGTATGTGTATGTATGTGTGTGTATGTGTGTGTGCATGTATGTATGTGTGTGTGTATGTATGTACTTGTGTATGAGTGTGTGTATGTATGTATGTGTGTAAGGGTGTATGTATGTATGTATGTATGTATGTATGTATGTATGTATGTATGTATGTATGTATGTATGTATGTATGTATGTATGTATGTATGTATGTATGTATGTTCATGTGTGTATGTTTGTGTATATGTGTATGTGTGTATGTGTGTATTTATGTGTGTGTTTGTGTGTGTATGTATGAGTATGTGTGTGTGTGTTTATGTATGTGTATGAATGTGTGTGTGCGTGTGTGCGTGCGTGTGCGTGTGTGTGCGTGTATGTATGTGTGTGTGTCTCTATTTATGTGTGCGTGTTTTTGTCTGTATGTATGTGTGTTTGTGCATCAGTATATATGTGTGCATATATGTATGTGTATGTGTCTGTGTATGTGTGCATGTATGTGTGTGTATGTGTGTATGTATGTATGTGTGTATGTATATATGTGCGTATGCATGCATGTGTGTGTAAATGTATGTATGTATGTATGTATGTTCGTATATATTGCAAGGGAGTTTAATAGCGACGCCAGGTAGTGGGCAGGCAGCCGGTACGGACAGAAATTCTCGAGCCGTCCAGCGTCTACAGCTCGTGCACACACTCGCGCTTCGCACTCCGAGAGAGATGGTCCCACTAGTCAGTGCTTTGCGAATTCCCCACAACAATACTCCGGCGACAAAGACGAGCCATCCTGGCGACTCAAGGTGACGAGAGAACAGGAGGGTCGTAGCAGGGCTTGAGGCGAGTGACGTGGACCGTCTCACGACCAAGGCGGCGCTTGTCCGTGGATGGCTTGAGCGGTTCAATCACATAGGTGACAGAAGAAGGGTGCTGTATGACGCGGTAAGGGCCCGTATACTTCGGTGCAAACTTGGGAGTTAGTCCAGGAGAGTGGAAAGGCAGTCGGAGCCACACGAGAGAACCGATGGGGAATGTGTCCTGAACAAGATCACGGTCGTGGCGATCTTTTGGAGGGCTTGATTATCGGCTATGAAGGACCGTGCAAGCTGACGACACTCTTCGGCATGTTCTGCCATTTCAGAAACTGGGCTGAACTCGGAGGCATCAGGATTGTATGGCAGAATTGTGTCGAGTGTGCTGCATGGGTCACGATCATATAGAAGAAAAAATGGAGAAAAGCCCGTTGTTGATTGAATCGCCGTATTGTAGGCATACGTCACGAAAGGAAGGACAACGTCCCAATTGGAGTGGTCCGAATCAATACACATAGCGAGCATGTCTCCGAGAGTTCTATTGAACGTTCCGTTAGGCCGTTCGTCTGAGGGTGGTAGGCTGTTGATGTGCGGTGTACCGTGTGGCATGAATGTAAGAGCTGCTGCAGAACTTCGGACAAGAATACACGGCCCCTGTCACTCAGGAGCTCCCGTGGTGCACCATGACGAAGAACAAACCGATGCAAGATGAAGGTTGCAACGTCACGAGCACCAGCCGAAGGTAGCGCTGCCGTTTCCGCGTACCTTGTCAGATGGTCGGCAGCCACAATCACCCATCGATTACCACCAACAGAGCACGGTAGCGGGCCGTATAGGTCAATCCCAACACGGTCAAATGGGCGTGCAGGACATGGTAAAGGCTGCAGTTGACCGGGTGAATGAGGGAATGTCTTGCGCTGCTGACACAGGGAACATGAGCGAATGTGTTTGCGTACAAACGTGTACATACCCCGCCAGTAGTAACATTGGCGGATCCGTTCATACCTTTTTAGCGCACCGGCGTGTGCGTGTTAAGGCTCAGCATGAAAATATTCGCAGACATCAGTGCGCATATGGCTGGGTATGACTAGCAGCCATTTACGACCCACCACTTGATAGTTACGACGGTATAACAGGCCATCTCGTATGGCGAAATGCGTTGCTTGGCGGCGAAGAGCACGAGGGTAACCGGAAGTTGATGCGTCAGAAAGCATATTCAAGAGCGAGACAATCCAAGGGTCTTTCCGCTGTTCAGATGGCATGTCTGTGACGCTGACGGAGTAGAGGGGAAGGTCAAGGGCTGATATTTCCGATTCCTCAGATTTCACGGGGGATCGTGAAAGCGCATCTGCGTCAGAGTGCTTTCGCCCCGATCGGTAGACGACGCGTTTGTCGAATTTCTGGAGGCGTAGTGCCCAACGTCCGAGGCGACCAGAAGGATCTTTCAGTGAAGCCAACCAACAGAGTGCGTGATGGTCTGTTACCACGTCAAAAGTTTGGCCGTACAAATACGGGCGAAACTTGTTTAACGCCCAAACAATCGCCAGGCACTCTTTTTCAGTAACAGAATAGTTGGCTTCTGCCTTAGTGAGGGCGCGGCTGGCATAGGCGACCACATACTCCGTAAAACCTGGTTTGCGTTGCGCGAGTACTGCACCAAGGCCGACGCCACTTGCATCCGTGTGTACTTCGGTCGGCGCACTAGGGTCGTAATGACGCAGTATGGGTGGTGAGGTAAGGAGTTGGCGCAGTGTTGTGAAGGATTCGCCACAGGCTTCTGTCCAATTCGAAAGATCTGCAGGGCCAGCAAGGAGTTTGGTGAGTGGAGCGATGATGGAGGCAAAGTTCCGGACAAAACGACGAAAATAGGAGCACAGGCCTACAAAGCTCCGTAGTTCTTTAACAGTAGTCGGCTTAGGAAATTCGGCAACAGCACGAAGCTTGTCAGGGTATCTTAGTGTATTAGCTGCGAAGCGCCGACGACATAGACGCGCAACGTGACCTGGAATCCCGCAAAAGTAGCATATCGGCCGGTTGTCAGCAGTGCGCCAAGGATTTCCAGCGTGCTGCTGTGTAGCTGGAAACGGCGCGGTAGAAGGTCGCACAGGTTGTGGCGTATACAATGGCAGACGAGGCAGAGGCATTGCCGCGACGGCCGCATAAGTCAGTGGCGCGGCCACGGGTGTTGATGGAGAGGCAGGCGTAGGTAATGGCAACGCCTCGAAGACCTGCTCCTGAATAGCCTGTCTGATTGTCGGCGTTAGACGGTTCGTTGATGCTTCGGTGGTCGGCAGATACGAGAGACACGAAAGCTGTCGTGCGACCTCTTCACGTACATATACTTTTATCTGCTCCAGCAAGGTGCTGTCACCACTGACGGCCAGGGAAGCGAGAGAGTCGTCTGCTGTAATTGACCTCCGAACTAATGCACGTTGCTTGCGAATCTCTTCCAAGTTCTGGCACAAGGTTACAAGTTCGGATACGGTACTTGGGCCCTTTGCCAGCAACATTTGAAAGGCATCATCGTATATTCCTTTCAAGATATGCCTGATCTTTTCTTGCTCGGTCATCTCAGGGTTAAAGCGCCGGCATAAATCGATAACATCTTCAATGTAGCTAGTGAAGTTTTCGCCCTGCCTTTGCGCTCATCCGCGTAGGCGCTGTTCAGCACGCAGCTTGCGCACTGCGGGGCGATCGAACACAGCTGCAAGGGTGGTCTTGAACGCGGCCCAAGTGGTAAATTCCGTACGGTGGTTTGTGAACCACAGGCTGGCGACGTCTTTGAGATAAAATGGGATGTACTCCAATTTCGAGGGGTCGTCCCACTTGTTGGCGGCGCTCACCTTTTCAAACAGCTGCAACCAGTCTTCCACATCTTGGTCCTCGGTGCCGCTGAAGAAGGGGGATCCCGTTGACGCAGGGTGGTAGGTACGATGACCAGTTGAGATTGGGCCGTGCTCTGCAGGGGGGTGCCTTGCTCGGTCGTCTGATGAGGGATTGCTGATGCAGTGGGCAGCTCCCGGCTTCGAAGTTCCAGGTTTGCGTACCCAGCACCTCCACCACTTTGCAAGGGAGTTTAATAGCGACGCCAGGTAGTAGGCAGGCAGCTGGTACGGACAGAAATTCTCGAGCCGTCCAGCGTCTACAGCTCGTGCACACACTCGCGCTTCGCACTCCGAGAGAGATGGTCCCACTAGTCAGTGCTTTGCGAATTCCCCACTACAATATGTATTAATGTATCTGTGTGTGTTACACACATATACATACATGTGTGTGTGTGTAAGTGTATGTGTGTGTATGTATGTGTATGTGTGTATGTATGTTGAACTTTAACATGGAACTTTATTCATTTCAACATTCGGGATGCTGAGGGCCGTAGTCAAAAAGCCTCTAATGGGCTTGACTGGGACCACGACCCCTTACAAATGGACAGCATAGGCAACACTTTTATTGCAGTGACAATGTACAAAAATTTGAGCAAGCATAAAGCATAAAGTATAATAAGCATAAGCATAATAAAGCATAAGCATAATAAAGCATGAAGATTGAAAAGTAATAAACTCAAAGAAATGACCGTAATTATTTCCTTACACATACGATATCAATAAGAGAGTGTAACGATGCAAGAAAAGAAGATCGCAAGATTAGCACCAAAGTAAAAAAAATTATGGGGCATGTGCCCATACGCTTACTACACTTACAATCAGAACAGTCACTCAGATGGAAGACGATATGGCATTCAAGTGAAACGGCAGGAGGAAGTGTAGCATTTCTTTACCGTAGTTAGTGCGCGTGCGCGGGATAAGCCATGTGTGATTGAAACGCGTGTTATAAAGAACTTTGCGGTGGTTTAGGTTGGCAATGGTTCCTAAAAGGTTGTCGCCTTTTAATCCTGCCTGGTAGCGTTTCACAAGCATTGCGCGGTAGTATTCAGGTAGAGGTAGCAGCTTCATGTCGTGAAATATGGGAGTGGTGTGACTGCGATATGGAGCATTTGCAACGGCACGAACAGCCCTTTTCTGTATGACGTGCAGTTTGCGGATATTTGTTAGAGTTGTCGTACCCCAAACCAGATGACAGTAGTTGACGTGAGATAAAAACAGGGATTTATAGATGAGAAGTTTAACTGCCTTAGGTAGCGAGAAACGCACCCGGGATAATATGTCCGAAACCCTTGATATAGTGCCACATAGTTTTTCAGTGTGTGCGTTCCAAGACATGCGTTGATCGAAAATTATTCCCAGACACTTAATACGCTGTACTATCTCAAGTTCTGAACTGCCAAGTTTTAATGGGACATGACAAGGGGTTTGTTTATTTTTCGGCCTGAAATATACAGCTTTTGTTTTTGATGTGTTAAGTTTCAAACAGTTAACGCATGTCCACGTGGCCAACTTCGCCAGTACCTCATTTGCGTCATTAATTAAGTTTGTATAATTTTCAGCAGTAAGAAACAAGGTTGTATCATCAGCGTATATAATACATTTTACAGACGTGTCAATTTTTACAATATCATTTATGTATATACAAAAAAGCAGAGGCCCTAATATGCTACCTTGTGGTACACCCGCTGAAATTTTTA